TTTTTCGTATACATTGAGACATTGAGGTACATTTGCATGTTCACTGCAGAATTTAACTTGATATTCAGACTGCTCTATTGCATACAGTGAATGTATGAATGTGAATGTTGTTACAGCAGAATAATTAGAATAGAATAATTCTATACAATTTTATTATAACATTTTATATATATATATATATATATGTAAAACACTAAACTATGAATCAGTCATTTAAATGTGAATTTGGGCATATATAATGTACAATAATTATTTTAGTATCATTGATCTACTATTTTTGTTAATGTTTTAAATTACATTTTATGAAAATAGCCTTGTTGCTGGCATGGTGTTAAAAAGTGAATAAATAAATAAATTAAATATTTATATTTTTCCATTTATATTTTCAATTTCATTTTAGTTAAGCATTTTTAGTAATTTTGTGTTTTTGTGATGTTTTTTTTTTTTTGTCTATATAGTTTTTATTTTTAAATTCATTTTAGTTTAGTACTTCAAGTTAAACTAAACTAAAATTAGTTTTTTATATTTTTCTTTAAGCTTCATTTTTGTCACGTAACAATTTTTAAATGTTTTTAGTTAATGATAATATCCATTTTCATACTCTACATAATAGGGTTTTTGATTTTAAGATACACTAAAGATAGCATTTTAAGTGTTAATAAATTATTTGCTCAAATTAACTTTGTGTACATTAATATCCAATATCAACTGAAACAGACTAATTATAGACCCTAATATTATCTGATAACTTGAGCTGGTACTACTGATATATTGTGTGTCCCTAAAGAAAATCGGTTCATACAGTGTGAGGAATGGACTAAAGTTGAAGTCATTCTGAATTCATACTTTAAAAATCTTGCCTTTGATTGAACTGTCCTTAATCCTTCCTGATACCTAAATATAAAAACACACTTAAAATCTATAATATTTATCAGTCAAATTTAAATATTGATCATGTGAGGCAAGCATTAACCATGGTGAAAAATGTGGTGTCTAATTGTGAAAGTATTATAATTGACCCACAGCTGCAGTTTCCTTCTGGCAGAAAAAGGAGGAGAATATGTCAACAGCATGCAGCTGAGATATCCAAAAGGAGACCATTCAGTGAGTCATTGCTTTACACAATTATGTGTACTTAACAGAATGTGTTGAATGGATAGAATTAATAATGAACACAATCCTTTTATTCAGATATAAATAGTGTGCGCTATATGTAGTCTTACATGTTTGTAATTTGCCCTTACAGAGATCAAGTCAGAATGGCTTTTCAAGTCACGAGGAAGGTAAGCTTTTCTGGGGTTTATTTACTTTCAAATCCAATGAAGCCATAATCATAGTTTTTATAACTGCTGTCTGCAATATCTCTAGAAACATCCTGTCTTAAGATATTTGATTTCTACTTTGTGTTCAGCAGCACAGAATGTCCTCCAGTCAAAGATTGCACAAAAGGCTGTAGATATGGGTTTTGACCCCATCAAAGTGGAGCGCACCATTCTGCAGAAACTATGTCAGAACACTGAGGGTTATGCTTCAGTAGAGGCCCTTATTCAAGACCTCAGTGCCAGTATCATACCCGAGAAAGCTGGCAAGTTCTTTTTCTTTTTGAAAGTCTGATTTGTATATATATAAAATATAAAAATAGGCCATGCTTTGCTTAAAAAAATATTTACACTTTACTTACCAATGTAAAATAGTTATCATTTTTAAAGTGATTTGGTAAAAATCTAAATGCTTCAAGTACTTCCATGTCTTTAACCTGCAAATATATTGCAACTTTTGGAACATAAAATTGTTACTTGCATAAATCATACTCTTAAAAATGGCATGCCAAACATTGTGGAGATTGACTGATTGACAGCTTTCAAACTTCATAAAATAAAATAAGATAAATATAATCAAATAAATAAGCAGAGAATCACTGTTTTGATGTTGTTTTAATGTTGCGTTTGTTTCTTACATATTTTCTACAGAGGACCCCATGACGAAACTTGAGAAACTCCAGAGGGAGAAACTCTGTAAAGTCTGCATGGACAGTGACATTAACATTGTCTTCATTCCATGTGGACACCTGGTCACCTGTCAGAAATGCTCAGAACCCCTGAACAAGTGTCCCATCTGCTGTGCCGCCATCATGCAGAAGATCAAGATCTACAATGCCTAAAAGACAAAGAAACCAACACTCCAAAAAAAAAAGCTGATGCTTATTGAAAGTGGCAGAATGTAATCATTCCTAAAATTGCACATAGATGTGTAAAATTTAAGCTGTGTATATATATGTAGACATGTAGATGTATTAAACTATGATAAAATTATATTTTTATTTTTTCATTAAGATTTCAAAATAACAAGCTGTACATAGATGTGTTTGGTTTTGATCAAGGCAGGGACACACTACGTAATTTAGAATACTACGTATTGCAGAATACGACATTTTGAATCCTTTTAGCTGCTTCCCCCAAATACAGTCTCAGATTCATGTTAATCACCATAGTGCATTTATGTAGACTACTTTTTATGAACATTTTCATTGTTTAATATTTTGACAATCATGTTTTACTCCTTTATATTTGATCTAATTTATTTCTTATAAAATAATTGCTTGAGACTTTTAATCAAGGTTCATTTAAACTTCACCAGTCCAAATGAGTTTTTCTTATGATACTTTTCTGTTGTTGTAATTCCTTTGAATAATGTTTTTTTTTCATCCATTGCAATGACAATAAAATTGGACTTCACAGTGGATCTTTTCTCTTCGGTTTCATCTGTCAGTTTTAAAATTCATAAACTGGAAAGTGAGGCTAAAAGCTGTTATGCTTACAGCAGAACACAATTCTTGCCATAATTTCTGCCTGTTTACCAATTAATGTATTTCACTTTATACATTTCATTATATTGTGTTATGTTTTATGGGGTTAGTAAGTGCTTCGAAATAGCATGTGGCTGTCAGATTAGTTTTTTTTTTAATCATTAAAAATGAGTTTATGTAAATGTATGTTATAATAGCTTGCGCGGTTTTTAAAGATACATGAAATATCTGAAAGAGAGAGCTTTATAAAATGTCCCCACAAAAATAAAATCTAGAGGCAAATATTGCCCCTAATAATAAAATAGATAATTTCTGACACTGGCGTCTATTGCACTGAGCAATTTGCACCTAAAGGCCTCGACCACTAAATGTCAGTCTCGAGCTCACCGCTGCAGTCCCCACCTTTGTCCACCAGGTGGCAGCTCTACACCGGCAGTTTCTCTCTGAGTGATCGGAACAACAAACCGAACGGAGCAAGCGGGGTAAGAGCGTGTCCAAAACCGCCTCTGACCGCCACTTTCAAACTACATCCGTGAAATAGCCGCGAATGCGCACTTTAAAGCCACTGGAGTCCATCTAGCGCTTCAAGAAGTCCTTCTAAACAATCCGGAACCGACCCTGACGATCGGGTAAGTGGTAAAATGGCGGAGAGATTTATAGAAATTAGTGGCTTTAGGGTTATTTGGATGATGTGTTAGCCGCGCTAGCCTGATAAGCGAGGGACAGGATACGAAACGAGCCGCCGTGCTTCCGTTGCCGCATTTAAACTATAAAAACCACCTCGCCGTGCTTTTTGGGAATTCAAACAAGCGTATTATGTTTTCACGAACGAACGTAGTTTGCGTGTTTCGTGGCGTTTCATTAGTAGCCCGTTAGCTAGCGGGCTAACCTTACCCTGCACAGTCAGGAACACAAATTGAGAGGCAAGATGGAGGACGAGGACGCGATGTTTTCCCCCCTTTTCCGAGATGGAAAAGCTGATGTCGCACCTATTATGCTAATTTCATCACATTGTCAATTTTAAACACACTCGCTGGCCATTTTTACGCGTTATATGTAAGCGTGTGGTAGGTGCGCGTGCATAATGACTGGAAACGAGCGGAGCCAAAATGGAGAATCCCGAAAACAGCTGTGCTGGATTGACTTCAAGATGGAGATTTTTTCCCCTTCTGATCGTGTTTTAAAGCGTTCCGTCAAACTATTGTGCGATTTCGCGACTTTAGCCCGCATTTGCGCCGACAAGCTCGTCGTTTAACGGTGATGATTGTGCGTTGGAAGTAGAACACCGCGAGTAATGAAGTAATATCGTGGTAAGAAGTGCGACGAGGAGGAGTTTGCGAGCGTCCGCCTGATCTCAGCACTCAACTTCAACAGATCCCATTATTTCTCACTTCTGTAGACCAGTGGGTCGTGACCCAAAATGGGTCTCACTTCTGTTTTGATAGGGTGCTAAAACCATGCTTAATGAAACTATGTAATAGTGCTTATTGTAGGGCAGCAAAATAAATATGCAGATCAACTTTTAAAAGGGGGAAAAGAGACTTCGCATATCTTTTGTTGTTGACGTCAGAGGCAGTGCGTCCAATCAAACTTTACGGTATTTTGGCGCAAATTCATCTGTCATTCGGTAAAATAGCTAATACTGATCCATTATTTGCTGCATGTTATTATGAAGTTAGCATAGGATGAATGGGACGTGAAGCTAACACGTTATTTGCGTAATGCAAGATCTGTGCAGTTCATCACGATGTTTGATTTTAAAGGAGTTTTGTTTACTTGGTTTAGCGTACAAAGTAGGTATTTTAGACTATTATTATATGATAAGAGGAAGCGGATGTTCTAGACAGAATTTTTAATGTATGTAGAGGCTAGGTCCATTGTGTACCATTGTGTGTTTTATATATTATATACACAACTGATCCGTCCACACATTGGTAGCGAACAGGAACTGGAAAGCATAGGATGAAATGGTGCAGTATTAGTTTTGGGTTAAGCTGTCATTGTCATCCGTGTGTGTGTGTGTGTGTGTGTGTCACAATGGCTGTGGATAGAACCGTCATTTGGCGCCACTTTTCCTTCGAACGCATTGTCGATGACGATGCCAAGGCTTTTGAATTCCCGCCTTACCGCCGATTATTCTATAACGAACATTGAGCTTTATTGCGTCTGTGCACCGCGCATAAATTCTGCGTATTGTTACTTGCTGGGTATTACATAACTGTCGTCTCACGTTCTCAGCACACGCTTTGCCCTGCATTTGGTGCAGAGAGGAGCATCGTATTCAATATATCTATTTTATTCCGTGACTTTCAGTGTACTCTGTGATTATGCTATTTAAAACGTATTTGATTCGCACACATTGAGGTACTGAAAGCCACACCTCTTTATGCACATATAAGGCCGAATTCAAAGTGTTGCGGGTAATATGTCCTTCGAATACTTGCTCTCCTTGGAATGCTTTTAACAGAGCATTTAATTCAGGATATTCGTAGAATATGCATTAATCACACAAAATTATCCCTTTGAAATAATGGGCAGTGTCTAAATGCGTCATTTTTACAGCGGTGGCCCGGTTCCTTCCTTTTCTCCCTGTTCATGTTTACGTCCTCAAATGTTAGCCGGCCTCTGATTGGATGCGGTGAAAAGGAGTGCGGACGTGTTACTCCCTTATATGGGCACAGACGTAGACGTGAAGCTCCGGCGCTCGGAGATGTTTCCTGGAAACGGTGGAAGCTGGATAGCCAATCAGCAAGGAAGCAGCGCGATATGACGGACTCAGAGAGCCACGCCCACTTGTTTTCTTTCTGAACCGCGGGCACTGCTCAGAACAGCCCCTATCACTTTCATTGCGCTGTAATTCTCCACACTCGTGCTGTTGTTTTGATGTGGTGGTATTTTTCAATATTTCCACAATGCTGTCTGACTAAACGAGTGAATTTATGATAAAGGCGCCAAACCTGCTAAATCATAGATGAAAATACTTTTTGTTGTCAACACAGATGCCATCTGCTCTTTAGTGATCTGCCTTGCCTTCATCTCAAAGTGACTTGTAAGAGAGGAAGTAGCATTTCAATAACGGCCTAATAAAGTACTTTTAGTTATATTTTTAAATCCAGTGAGGTGTAAACTGATTTATTTATTTATTTAGGTCCTCTGTGCAAGGATAAATGAAAAGTAAAACTCATACATCTAATTATATTTTTGTTGTAGGATTCCTGCTGCCACGTGTTAATGAAATTACAGTATTTTGGCAACTTTATTGTAAACATACGCATTTAACAAACAGAAAACAAACAAACATGCTTTTATATTCTGAATATTTAAATGCAACAAACAAACATCAACCGTATAGAATTAATATTAATTTTTCTTGCAGTTTACCTCAATGCATCTGAAACACTTTACAGTACATGCCATTTTGTGGGAAAATCTTAATTTTATAACTCATAATAACATCCAGCAAATAGTGTATCTGTATTAGCTGTTTTACTCTCTCTCACTGACACAGTTCAACCCACATCTGCCTTTTTTGGGGAAAAACATTTTATAACTCATGCCTAATGTTTAGTGAAATAATGTATACAGTGCAATTTTTTGACAGAAACATTTTTCAGCATGAATAAAATAACTTTTCATGTGTACCTCTCAACCACAGGCATTTCTGAATATACTGTATATTCAAATGCCACAAATTATGCAGAATGATAGATTGAAGTGGAAGCACCACTTCACAAGATTTAGCATTTATCAGAGGAATTCTCCGTCCATTCATATTGACTGTTCATTTTATGCTTTCTTAAAGGTTTCATCCCACTTTATATTTGGTGGCCTTGTTAAATTTAAATTAATAATTTGATACATTGCACTTATTGTGTACTTGCATGTTTTACATTGTACTTATATTTAAAAAATACCTGCATGTAATTACATCTGTAATTAATTTCTCTAATTACATTTATAATTACGCTGTGTTGAGTTGACCCATCCCCATCCCCTACACCTTAACCCACCCTTAAACCTACACACACCACCAAACCTGTCCCTAACCTTACCCGTGTCCCACCACAATAGCAGCAAAAGTGTTTTGCAGTACAATATGAACACAATAAGTACATTGATTGTACTTATTTTTTTATGTTAGTACATAGGTTTACATAAAAAAAGATTCTTGTTGGCTTGATTGTCTGAAAGTGTGTAAAGTGCAGTGGCTCTGAAACCTCTCAGCCAAAGGTGTGAGTTTAGTGTGGGACTGTGTATTTGTCTGAGCAGTGGCAGATGAACAGGACTGTACAGTGAATGTGAGCTCATTGATTCTGCACTGATGCTGTATCCAGGTTTTTGTTACTGAATTTATTTCTTAAAATATTAATTCCCCTTTCTCTAATACCGCCGGTCTTTGACTAGCAATAGCAGATCTTGTTTGTGGCTGTGATGTGAACTAAATGCCATTGGCTATTTGCAAATACGCTGTTTGATAGGTGCTGGCCCAACATCCTGTTTCATTGTGAAACAGCCATTTAGTGAGGTCTTCATGGATAATCATGGTAGTCTTTCATTCAGTGAGTTCAGGCATATTTCACTGCAGAGCTGTGGTCCTCTCATGGGGTGATAATATCACATTGCTCTAATATCTTCCTCCTCTGCTGAACATGTTAAAGAGCTTGTCTTTTTAAGTGAGAACTAACTGGTTTAGAAAACAGTTGTAGTTCATAGAGAAATTATCATGGCTGTCCTATTATTATTAAGCACATTTGAAGTGATACTTCACCCAAAATGTACTCACCTATTGACTCCCAAAAACTTTTTTTTATGTTATTTTATCTTCCAAAGAAGAAAGCCATACAGGTTTAAACGACACAAGGGAGATCGAATGATGGCCGAATTTAGGGCTGCTCGATAATGACAAAAATCATAATCACGATTATCAGGGGTGCACATACATTTTTCGGTCTGGTTCTCATGAGAGCACCTGGAGATTTGGTTTGGTGCTCACACTGCACCAGTGTGACTCATTAAATATAGCTCTAAAAAAAATAATTAATAATAGTGATAATAGTATTATTGCACTTTATTTATTTTGTATGTTTAAGTAAAATAATAAGCAAAATAACAAATAGAGTGTGGTAATACTATTATATTTTAAAATAAATGTGAGTATTATATAAAAATACAATTCTTTTATAGTACACTTAAAAAATACAATGCTAATTGTATAAAATATATATTTTTTATTTTAATATAAATATATTTTTAAATTTTTTATTTAAATTATATTAATTTTCAGCAAAATCATTAAGCTTTTATTTGGGCGGGTTGCCGACAAGTAAGTATATGCGCCTAAGTGAAGCGCATCTGAATGAAATGTCACAGTTTTGCATTTTGCTCTAAAACCGGCAGTGTATAGCCTAGATTTATACTTTCAGTTTGAATGGAAATCTTATACAGTATTACAGTTAGTCAATCGTCGTTAGTGTACATTAACAATGTTGGTGTGCAAATGAGCGGTCTGAACTTATTTACACAGCGCATGTTTTATTTTGGTAAATAAATTTATTTATTATTTTGTAAGTGGTGCACCCCTTATTTATGTGGAAAGGGGCATTCCCAGAATTCCTATCACAACCCATCA